GTGTTTATATACTACATTTTCTTTATCTGCCAACAGATGTTTAGGTTGTTTCCATATCTTGGCTATTGTGACTAATGCTGCAATAAACATGGAAGTGCAGATATCTTTTCAAGATCACGATTTCAATTTTTTGTGTGTGTATGTCCAGAAGTGGGGTTGCTGGATCATGTGGAAATTCTTTTAATTTTTTAAGGAAGCTCTGTACTGTTTTTCATAGAGGCTGTATCATTTTGCATTTCATCAGTAGTGCACAAGGGTTCCCTTTTCTCTATATCCTCATCAACATTTGTTATCTTTTGACATTTTGATAACAGCCATCCTAACAGGTTTGAGGTGCTATTTCATAGTGGTTTTGATTTGCATTTCCCTGATGATTAGTTGAGTATCTTTTCACATATCTATTGGCTGTCTGTATGTCTTTTTTGGAGAAATGTCTATTCAAATCTTTTGCCTATTTTTAAATTGGGTTATTTGTTGTTGTTGTTTTTGATATTGAGTTGTAGGAGTTTCTTAGATATTAACATTTGGTATAATAGCCCCTTAGCAGACATATGATTTGCAAGTATTTTCTCCCATTCCATAGGTTGTCTTTTCACTCCATTGATTGTTTCCTTTGCTGTGCAGAAGCTTTTTAGTTTGATGTAGCTCCATTTGTCTATTTTTGCTTTTGTTGTTGTGCTTTTTAGTGTCACAATCAAGAAATCATTGCCAGGACCAATGTCATGAAGCTTTTCTCCTGTGTTTCCTTCTAGTAGTTTTAATTTCAGGTCTTGTATATGTCCTTAATTCATTTTGAGTTGATTTTTGTGAGGCAAGAGATACTATAAAAGCATTTACAAAAGCCACATAAGTGCTCTGATGGGGTAATTACAGGGTGCGAAAGGAGCACATAGGAGTAGCCCAGTTCCTAGTTGGGGGTGGTGAGGGCATGAGTCCCTGAGACCTGAGACAGGAGGGGTTGACTGGGAGCATGAGGAGGTCAGGGAAGGGGAGGGAGGAAGAGGATAGCAAGGTAGAGGGGACTGTATACACAGACCCAGAGGCTAGGTGAGGAAGGTACCAATCCTGGGCAAGCTTACAAAGGGGCTTCCCAAATGGACTCAAGCTTGGCTGAATTGGTCACCAGCTCCCTGGGGAGCAAGGCTGCACTCCACCCCTAAGATTGCAGTCTTCCTTTTCTTTTACTCTCCAGGTTAGGCATTCCTTTACCTCACAGGTCAGGTTCAGCTCAGCTCCCTCTGTCCCTTATACTGAGTACAAAGTTTTCAACCTTCCTGCATTTCCTTAATTCTGGAACTCCCTCTCTGGTGCCATTGCGTGCCCATTTGATGCTCACTGTTTTTAATACAGCTTTCTCTTATATTAGAGAGCCATCTAATTATTAAGATAATTAGAGGTGGGGCTCTCACTTCTCAGCAGTTTTGCTCTGAAGGCTCTGAGGCATTTTGGTGCTCCTGTTGGAAAACATAGTTAGATTTAAAGCAAGGGCACACATCTAAATGCTGCAGGGGCCAGGCAGGTCCCGGAAGTGAGTGGCAGGCCCTCTGGCCACATGCCCTCTTGGTCTGCCTTTCGCTTTCCTGCCTCTGCTGGAGACACAGGGATAAGCACGAGTGTTTCACTGCTCTTCACACTGATGTGGAAAACCCACAATGCAAGCAGGATGATAAGTCGCAACTGTCACTGGCCCTGTGCTGTGGTGATAGTGCGAAGGGTGGGGGAAGATGGTGGAATGCAGAGAAAATGTGATATCCGGTGTGATGGCAACCCAGCACAGTTGAATAGTGAGAATGCAGGCCTACAGTTCACAGGTATTCCAACAGAAGCCTGAAATCTGCATGATTTGGGGGAGGGGGGGATAGATGAAATTGACTGATTTTTAATTATTAGAAAATAGTTTCAAATTTTAAATATCCTGTACAGGCTACTGTCATGCAGGCCACACAAAATATATGTATGCCTCATTCAGAGGTTCTAAACCAGCGGTTCTCAACCTGTGGGTCGCGACCCCTTTGGCGGTCGAACGACCCTTTCACAGGGGTCGCCTAAGACCATCCTGCATATCAGATATTTACATTACAATTCATAACAGTAGCAACATTACAGTTATGAAGTAGCAATGAAAATAATTTTATGGTTGGTTCACAACATGAGGAACTGTATTTAAAGGGCCAAAAGGTTGAGAACCACTGTTTTTAAAAATTTAAAAAAAAAATCTAAACCATAGCTGCACAGTAGGATCACCTGGGGAGCTTTTAAAAGTCCAAGTCACACCGCTGGCCAATTAAATCAGAATCTCGGGTGGCAGGAGGAGTCATCAGCATGTTTTTTAATTGTCAGGTGATTCCAACGTGCAGTTAAGATTGAGAACGCCTGGGCTTGGTGAGCATCAGTTTGTGACCTCTGATTTAATAGGCCGTGTTTTGGCAGAAAATGTGGCGAGAGCTTTGCTGTGCCGGAGGCCTTTTCCAGTGTTAACCGGCACGTGTGCTGTATCACAGATACCAAGTGTCCTGGATGGGAACTCCGAAGGGAAACCTCACGTTCTCTCCTGTTTCTCTGGAGAACCCCATCTCCTTGTCATGGAATGTGGGTTGTACGGTGATGGGAGAAGGGGTCACTAAAAAACTCACGTGCTGTTTTCACGTGCTTAAATCAGCGGTTCTCAACCTGTGGGTCGAGACCCCTTTGGCGGTCGAATGACCCTTTCACAGGGGTCGCCTAAGACCATCCTGCGTATCAGATATTTACATTATGATTCATAACAGTAGCAACATTACAGTTATGAAGTAGCAACGAAAATAATTTTATGGTTGGGTCACAACATGAGGAGCTGTATTTAAAGGGCCAGAAGGTTGAGAACCACTGCCTTATAGGAAACATGGACTCAGTGTGATCCATCCTGAATTCTTTATTGTTTTCCATAAATTTGTTACTCTCTTTGTTTGCTTTGTTTTAAAAATGGAATTTACTAGAAGGAAAATCAAAGAAGAATTTAAAAAAACAGGGCTCAGAAGCATAGAAGCCTCAGAATCTTGTTAACAGCCTCAGAAACACGGGCTGTTTAAGATTTGACCTTTGGATGACTCATTTGTAGATTCCTCCAGTCCCCATGTGTTTCTGCTTCAATTCAGGTTCCTAGAGGAGATAAACTGATTGGCCTCCCTTGGTCACGTGTCCACCCTGACTTTGACTCAGGTGGTGGTGGGGGTCCTGTGATTGGAAACCCCACCAGAATCAGATATAATGGGATGGGAGCCGTCTTTCAGAGTGCTGTTACAGAGAAGCGGGAGCACTTGCAAGATAGAGGGAAGGATTTCATAAAAATTGTCCCTTTTTTATTGATTTAAATATTATACAAGTAGCACATCAGTGAATGCATTTGGGGAAAATCAAATAATGAAGAACGTTGAATACTACCTGATTCCTCCCTACTCTCATCCCCAGAGGTAAGCACTACCAAGTTATGATGTATATTTATAGGTCTTTTGTTGTGTGCTTTTAGGTATATATGTAACTATATATGTAAAAATATATGTACAGGTATATACATTAATATAACTCATTTTCTTTTCACATGAATATGACTTTCTGCTTTCACTTAATTTACAGGTCTTTACCATTCTAAAATTCACAGTTCTACCTCATTGCTATTTTATTTTATTTTTTGGTTAATTCTCACCCAAGAATATTTTTCCCATTGAATTTTCAGAGAGTGGAAGGAGAGGGAGGAAAAGACGGGGGGGAGGAGGTGAGGAGGAGAGAAGGAGACATTGATTGGTTGCCTCCCAAACGCGCCCTGACTGGGGCCTGGGATCAAACCTGCAATCTAGGTATGTGCCCTGATGGGGAATCGAACCCACAACCTTGTGGTGCAAAGGACAATGCTCCAACCAACTGAGCCACGTGGCCAGGGCCCTCATTGCTCTTTTAATAAGAAAATTAATTCACGGTCAACATGAAGCAGTTCAGAAGTTTATAAAATGAAAAGTAAAAACTTCCCTTCCTAGAATTCACATTTCCCTAAACCCCTAGTGCTATCCCCCTGGAGGTGACCACTGTTACCAGCTTCTTATGTATCCAAAGAAATTCTCCCAGGTAAACAAGTGGTTCCTACTTCTAGGACTGCTTCCTGATTGTATCCTGACAACGTTCCAATGCTAATTATTTTGTGTGTTAACTCATGCCTGCCAATGTTATAGCAAAATTAGAAGTATCAAGGGATGGATGATTGCCAACATTTTTGATAAAAAATGTGATTCTTTATATTACTGTTAATGAACCCTTTCTCCATCTTCTAAACTTCCTCACTCCCATCATATAATTATTTTCTCTTTCATGTAACAGAGGCCATGCCAGTTTTTAAAATCAACATCTTATAGATATACTTGCTATTTATGAATTTGACATAGAAACCTAATGTTCAAAGATGTTCTTCACTATTCTGCTAATATGAAGGGGATAAACTAGAAGCTGGCTTGTAAAATCTAGCTCTAACCAGTATCTTTCTCTGGACCAAAACAGGCAGCATTCCGCAGGGAGACAGACATTGGCAAATTTTTTTGTTTGAATTCTGGGAAGTTTCTTTTTCCCATAGACCAGCAGTTCTCAACCTGTGGGTCGCGACCCCTTTGGGGGTCGCCTAAGACCATCGGAAAACACATATATAATTACATATTGTTTTTGTGATTAATCACTATGCTTTAATTATGTTCAATTTGTAACGATGAAAATACATCCTGCATATCAGATATTTCCATTACGATTCATAACAGTAGCAAAATTACAGTTATGAAGTAGCAGTGAAAATAATTTTATGGTTGGGGAACATGAGGAACTGTATTAAAGGGTCGCGGCATTAGGAAGGTTGAGAACCACTGCCATAGACTGTTTTGTAGATAGAGAGGAAGTTAGAATTGAATGATACACAGGCACACCTTGTTTTATTGAGCTTTGCTTTATTGTGCTTCACAGATACTACTTTTTTTTTTACAAATTGAAGGCAAGACCCTCCACCAGCAACGATTACAGATTGCTTCATTGCGATGTCTGGAACTGAACCCCCAATACCTCCAAGGTAGGCCTTTAAGCCTTCTTACACTAATAGCTATTGAGAAACAGCTACACAGAGTAGAAAGGAGAATCGGCTGGCGTGACTGCTGGGGAACAGGGGGGTCTTGATCGCCTTCTGAAGGGTGCTCGGGAAGCAGGGCTCACCCTCACCTCCTCATTTGGCTCCAGGTCAAGCTCCAGGAGGACCTTGTGGACACATTGTGTCCTGTTACGTAATCTTTTCCAATCAGTAAAAGGGGTCATCTGAATGTAAAGGGGTCCCCATTCCCTTGGGCATGTTAAGGACTCCCCTTCTCCCCAGACTGTGAAGAAAAGCAAAATGGAAAATGGAGAGAAATAAAGAGTGTGATTATTCTGTGTTGGTTCTGGGACAGCTAAATCTTTGATGTTCTGACCTATAAAGAAAGCATTAAGATGTTTCTAGTATGCTGTGCTCTTCAGACCCCTGTGCTTCCTCCAATTGAACTTAGGGACTAAGGCTCTTTGACAGCGGTTCTCAACCTGTGGGTTGCGACCCCTTTGGCGGGCAAACAACCCTTTCACAGGGGTTGCCTAAGACCATCCTGCCTATCAGATATTTACATTACGATTCATAACAGTAGCAACGTTACAGTTATGAAGTAGCAACGAAAATAATTTTATGGTTGGGTCACAACATGAGGAACTGTATTTAAAGGGGCAGAAGGTTGAGAACCACTGCTCTATGAGCTGTTATGTATTGGCGCATGGCTGCTTAAAACAAACAGTCCTACTTCCAAGACTCGGGACTCCTGCTAAGAGGTGAACTTAGAAGCAATTGCTTTTTGTGTATCAATTCTATTGAATAATCTTGAGGTAAGAAATGGGCAGAATTTTCACTGATTTACTGTGATGAAAGCAGAGGGGATCTCTAAGGTTATTCTGTGGAGAAGACTTAGAATTCCCATCTGCCAGGGAACTGCCTTGACCCAAAACACAGAGAGGCCATCAACCTCTGCTATGTTCTTCTTCAGGGAATGTGGTTGTTTCCTTTTTATGGAAGTTGGGCTCCCTTTGTCATCAACACCAAGTCTTTTCTCCTTCCTCTTATCCTCCAAACCGACCCTCTCTGAATACATCAATCCCCACTCGCTGGCCCAAGATTAAACCATAAGTTCAGAATCATGCCTTGTACACAGTAGACGCTTGACCAACATTTGCTGAATTGACTATAAAGAATTCACAACCACAGTAGAAACTTTCCAATCAGAAATTCCTCTCCCTTTTGTTTGGTTCCAGCCTGCGGGGCTGGGGAAAGGCTGCTGTGTTTACTTGCAATAGCTACATGTGATGTGGCCAGGGTGGGTCATCAGAACCGTGGGTGTGCAGAACTGACTATCAAACTTAAAGGGCAAGATGAAGAGAAAATGGAGAACAAATGGATGCCTGTGGCTATGTGTTTGCTGTGAGGGACACAATTGATTATATAGAACAACTGGGGAGGGCAGTTCAGAATTCACACTGTGAGCAGGAGTGCATGCTGGCTGTCCTCTCATGGTGGGTGTTGTGGGCTGAGGGAGTGATGGAGGGCCCATCACTTATACACTCTGACTTTTCATAAACCCCTATGGTATTTTTTAAAAAATCATTGATAGTACAAACAGGCTGAAAATCAAGATAGACCATATTTTGGGCCATGAAACCAGTACTCGTACATTTAAAAGGATTTAAGTCATACAAAACATATTCTCTGATCACAGTGGAATTAAACTGGAAAGCAATAACAGGAAAATTCTTGAAAAATCCCCAAATATTTGGAAACTAAATAATATACTTTTAAATAACCCATAGATCAAACACAAATTGAAAAGGGAACCTAGAACATATTTTGAACTGAATGAAAATGAAAGCGCATGTCAAGTTTGTGCCACTGAAACAATACACAGGAGGAAGTTTATGGCACTAAATGCCTGATTTGAAAAGAAGAACATTTTCAAATCAATGACCTCAATTTCCACATTAAGAACTGAAAAGTAGAGCACATTAAACCCAAAGTAAACAGAGAAAGAAAGTATGTTTTTTAAAATGAGATATAATTAGGTATACAATATAATTATTTGATATATATGTATATATATGTTGTGAATTGATGATGACTGAAAGTTTTGGTACCATCTGTCACCTCATATAGATACAATTTTTTTCTTGTGATAAGAACTTTTAAGATTTACTTTCTTAGCTATGTTCAAATATACCATACAGTGTCGTTAGCTAATGACCATGCTGTACTTTACAGCCCTAGGGCCTATTTATCTTATAACTGGAAATTTGTACCTTTAGATCAGCGATTGCCAACTTTCAGACCTCACGGACCACCGGTTAGTGACCACTGCACCAAAGGTTTCCTTAAACCAGTGGTTGCCAACCTTTCGGACCTCACGGATCATCAGTGGTCTGTGGACCACCGGTTGGCAACCGCTGTTTTAGACCATCACCCATTCACTTATCACCCTCTCTCCTCTCCACCCTTCACCTGAAACCCTATCTCTGGCAAGCACCTATCTGTTCTCTGAATCTATGAGTTCAATTTTTTTAGATACCACATATAATTAAGAACTTATAGTATTTGTCTTTCTCTGTCTGGCTTATTTCACTTAGTATAATGCCCTCAAGGTTCATCCATGTTGTTGCAAATGGCATGATTTCATTCTTCTTTATGGATGAATAAGTTCCTGTGTGTGTATATGTGTTATCAATTAAAACTATCCATTCATCCGTCAGTAGACACTTAGGTTGTTTCTATGTCTTTGTTATTGAAAATAATGCTGCAGTGACCATGGAGGTGCAGATATATTTTGCAATAGTGATTTTGTTTCCTTTAGATAAATACCTAGAAGTGGAATTGCTGGATTATATGGTAGTTCTATTTTTAATTTTGAAAGAAAACGCCATAGTGTTTTTCATATTGGCAGAACCAGTTTACAATCTCACTAACAGCGCACAAGGGTTTCCTTTACTCACATCCTCACCAACAGTTGTTATATCTAGCCTTTTTGGAAATAGCCTTTCTGACAGGTATGGGGTGATATCTCATTGTGACTTTGATTTTTATTTCTCTGATGATAAGTGATTTTGAGCATCTTTTCATGTATATTGGCCATTTGGATGTCTTATTTGGAAAAATGTTTATTCAGTTCCTCTGCCCATTTATTATTATTTTATTTTATCTTTCAATCAGTTTACTTTCAATATTATTTTGTGTTGGTTTCAGGTGTACAGCATAGTAGTTAGACAAACATATATTTTTCAAAGTGTTCCCCACCCCGATATTTCCAGTACCCACCTGGCACCATACATAGTTATTGCAATATTATTGACTATATTCCCCATGCTGTACTTTACATCCCTGTGACTATTGTATAATTACCAATTTGTACTTCTTAATCCTTTCACATCTTTCAACCACTCTCCCTCTGGTAACCACCAGTTGGCTCTCTGTGTCTATGAGTTTGTTTCAATTTTGTTTGCTTATTTTGTTTTTTAGATTCCACGTATAAGTGAAATCATATGGTATTATTCTTTCATTTAGCATAATACCCTTTAGGTACATCCATGCTATCATAAATGATAAGATTTCATTCTTTTTATGGTCAATTATACTATTGTATATATGTACCATCACTTTTCTTTTTTTAAAAATCACTTATCTATTGATGGGCACTTGGGTTGCTTACAGATCCTGGCTATTGTAAATACTGCTGCAATGAGCATAGGGGTACATATATTCTTTTGAATTAGTGTTTTGGGTTTCTTTGGATAAATCCGCAGAAGTGGAATTGCTAGGTCAAAAGGCAGTTCCATTTTAAATTTTTTGAGGAAACTCCACACTGTTGTTTTCCACAGTGGCTGCACCAATCTGCATTCCCACCAACAGTGCACAAGGGTTCCCCTTTCTCCACATCCTCGCCAACACTTGTCATTTGTGGACTTATTTATCTATTTTTTCCTTTTTATTATATTGTCTTTTTAAAAAATTACTTTTTATTTTTTAATTACAGTTGACATACAATATTATATAAGTTTCAGGTGTATACCCCAGTGATTACTAAGTGATCATCCTCATAAATCTCTATGTGGATTTATTGATGATAGTCATTCTGACAGGTGTGAGGTGATAATCTCATTGTGATTTGAATGTGCATTTTTCTGACAATTAGTGGACTTAATGCAACTTATTGTTTTCTGGCTGTTTGCATTTGTTCCTTCTCTTGTTCTCTTTGTGATTTGACGATTTTCTGCAGTGGTTCGCTTAGATTCCTTTCTCTTTCTCTTTTGCCTATCTACTATGGGTTTTTCTTTGTGGTTATCATGGGGTTTACATAAATGTTTTAGAGTTATAATAGTCTATTTTAAGCTGAATGTTTTAAAAATAACCAGTTAAATTTTTAAAAAATACTTAAATAGAGTAAAACTGAATTTTATTCTTTTGGTGAACAGTTCTATGAGTTTTAACACCTATGTAGTTTTGTAAACTACCACCACAATCAGGGTACAGAATAGTTCCATCACCCCCAAATTCCCTCATGCTGCCCCTTTGTAGTCAAACCTTCCCCAACCCTAACCCTTGGCAATCACTGCCCTGTTCTCTAACCCCGTCATTTTGCCTTTTCAAGAATATCATATAAATTAATTCATTCAGTAAGGGACTTGTCGAGTCTGGTTTCTTAAACTCACCACAATGCCTTTTAGATTCACCCATATTATTGAGTGTATCTGTAGTTCTTTCCTTTTTATTGCTGTACATCATTTTATTGTATGAATGGACCACAGTTTTTTTACCCATTCACCCACTGTGAGACATTTGGGTTGTTTTCAGTTTTTGTTGATAGTTAATAAAGCTGCTGTAAGCATCCTTGTACAAGTTTTTATGCAAACGTACATTTCAAATCTGTAGAATAAATATCAGGAGTGGAATTGCTTGGTCATACGGTAAGGATGAGTTTAACTTTACAAAGAAGTGACGAATTATTCCAGAGTGGCTAAGCC